ACAAATTAGAGACATGTCATAATAGATCATTCCATTTTAAATAAATCAACAATGTTATGTGGCACTTTTTAACGTCAATTTGAGATTTTTCTTGTTAAAAAGTTGAATAATTTAAACGCATTCAGCATTATAGATAAAATATAGTGAATTTTATGGTGTTTGTTCGAGATTAGCATGTGTAAAGCAAATTCGCGAATTTCAACGAAACAAAAAAGACCCCCACAATGACATCAAAATACGCAAAAATATTTCATCCGTTAATAGTCAATTGTACTCAGTTTAATTTGTAACGTATATAAATATAGGTAGAGAATAGCAAATGTTGATAAGATAACAAGGGTCACAAAGCACAACATGTGGCCCCAATTAGGCTTTCTCCACTTGGGGAGGTCGGGAGTAGTAAGCACTGGTCCTGGCTTCACTTGTAGTGACAGAGAAATAAATAAATAAAAAAAATAAACAACAAGAAAAACAAAATTTTACCATCCCTAAAAATAGACAGATAATAAAAATCGCCAGGCAAAAAAGAGCCATAATTCGACCAACCAATCAGAAACTTGCACAACTAGAATGTAAGAAAAGAAATAAAACAAATGATAAGTAGATCAAAATTTTACCATCTCTAAAAATAGATGGATAAGAAAAATCACCATATAAAAAAGCGATAATTCGCCTAACCAATCAGAAAACTTTCACAAGCAGGATATGAGGCCGTGAGCCAATGAGAAGCTTTTCCAAGAGGATCTATGGATGTGTATATTAACAGATGGAAAGTCAACCAAAATCAGCGTCGATAAATTGATTTTGTTAATTTTCTGATGCTGCGGTTATCTTAACATATGATATTTGCACTACCAGCTTACTACTTTACACTGCTAAACCGTCCTTGTTACTCTGAAAACAAAAATACATTCTTACACCACATGACGAATCGGCGGCTACTACATTTGGATACATATTTACTTGCTCCTTGGCTCTTTCTCTCTCTTCATCTGTCTTGTGCGCCAGGACTTTACATTTGAATTCTTGAAACTTCAACTTTCACCTTATCTTTCTGTTTTACTATATTGTGATATATAGATTTATTTTGTATTTTTCAACACTTTGTGCATTTTCTTTTAATCATTACACAAGGCCAATATACACCCAAATGAATTATACGGATAGAGGGTGGGAACGGACGTTGTCGTAAGTTAACTCATCAATGACTGATAACCCCATAACCACTATACACTCACAACAGCTTGTGAAACGAACCTGCCAACCATTGCTTTAGCGGAGGCACCTTGATATAGAGAGAGTTCATGGGAAGGGAATATTTTATGCGTGGAAAACAAATTTACACAGTTATGTCTACGTGGGTGTACAATTTTAATTGTGTTTTTCCAATCCAGACTAAAAAAATTCCGCCTTTGTGTAAAAGAAATAGTTGTTTATGTTTATTCTAGAATTCCCTAGAAAGTAAAAAATTAAAATGAAAGAATTTGATTTCACTGCACATTAACTTCTCTATAAAGGTCACATAGTACTAAATAGGCGTTTTCGGTGGATTTTCATAGCCTGCAAGGTTCCGATTGCAAATGTAATTTTATGGCACACTGATTCCTATACAATTGTCAGTTAATACTATATAGTTTGTTTCTGGGTCATCTGAAATTAAACCTAGTCAATTTCGATTACTTGCCGTAGAGTAGAAAATCCTAAATTTTTTAGACCATCCACCTTTTCATGGAATCTTGATCCCTCATCGACCCCTAGGTATGAACAATATATATATATATATATATATATATATATAATTTAAATAAAAACAGACCACTTTAAGGTTCTATGTAATAAATTATTTCACCACAGCCCTTTTAAAGGACTGCGGATCATCAGACTTTACTTCCAAAGGTTGAAACGAAAAATGAAAAGAAATTTACACATTTTTGACAGGCCGTATTAAGCATATGTAAATTAACGAAGTGAGGAAGTGAGCGGGGAGAGAGAAGAAGACATGAGTGAGTTAGATGTAATTTAATATTTCTATTCTTTCATACTTAAAATTACTTGAGGAAGTCCAGATATTGACACATTTAAACGGTTAACTTAACGGAAGTTATATATTGATATAGAAGGGGTATATAAAACAATTATATTTTTATTTAAGGGAATAAATTCTATTAAACTTTCCTTCATTATTGTTTCTCTAAAAGATTTAGCTTCCTGGATTAGAAGTTCTTGTTCGAATAATAATAATAATAATAATAATAATAATAATAATAATAATAATAATAAGGCATTAAAACTGTTCCTGTTCTGATTGGAGCTTTGGGACTGATAAAGAAAGAAACTCAAGAACAATCCACAACACGTCTGGTTAACCGTCTTTTCGGATAATAGTTTTAATAATACAGTTCTTATCCTGCAAAGAGCTTTGACTATTTAAATTTTTGTAGCTGTTTTTTGTTTTGTTTAATCAAGTAGAAACAACAAAAACACACTCTTCACTTGGCCGGGGTTATTAGTTATGACCTGGCATGTGATTATGAAACAAATGCAGGTCAGAAATTTTAATAATAATATCAATAGTCAAAGCAATTGACAAGTTAAAGAAATACACCGATTGCATTTGCTAGAACGTAGAAAGTTCAAGCTAGTATTGTCCCAGTCATCATTGGGGCGTTGAAGTATATATTATAATCTACGGCAAGAAAATCTGAATAAAACCTCGTATCCCATCGCTTCAGAAGTCGACGTTGCTTGGCGCTACAAATATTTTTTCCAAAATCTGCTGTCTGATTTCGCAGAACTTAGTTAAGAGCACCCATAATGCAAGATCTCCGACTGAAAATGTAAGCTTCTTTTGCGGAAGAAGATATAATAGCCGTTTGATGAAATCGATTTCGATGTTAGGTTTGTGAAAAACGAAAATACTTTACGCTGTCGTTTCTTTAAGAGAAATGGTATGCGCGAAATTATTATAATTACAACAGCTTCTTATCTCGCACCTTTTGTCAGTGGAACCCCCTTACTATTACTTGTTTCCCTGATAACTATAAAATTCAAATATTCAAATGCAATGTCAATCGACATCTTCTGGTGCCTTGACCTTGATCCCTGTCTTTCTCTTTATCCTTTTCCCAAACAATCCTCTTTACTCTCACTCTCTGTAATCCCTTGCCTGCTAGTGGCACTCCTGCCTTGGGGCGAATTGCTTATAAAAAAAGTTCGATAAATTTAAAAATTTTGGTAGCTGTTTATTTCATATGCAACATTGTCATTATTATTGTAGGTATGTAAAGGGCGATTATCACGCTTTATTTGAGACGAAGTCTCGAGGGTCACGTGACGGTCGGTGAGTAACGTCAGTTCATAGAGTGTTGAACGCCAATTTTTACTTAGCACAACTAGGAGCAAGACGTGACAGTCCAGCTGCTATGTAGTCAGCGGGGAAGCAAGGCATGACTGCTCATTGCAGTTAAGAGAGCAGAGTAAACCACATCGTCTCGCCAGGTACATAGAAGACATCACCATCCTGCCCGTTTTCCCTTCGGGAAATATCACAAGTAAGACCCTCTCTTTTTCCATCGGGATGTCAGTCCACGTAAATGAATGAAAGAGAAGCGATAAGAACCAATATATATGTACAAACAAATGTATTAACGATAAAGGATTACTAGTGACAAAGGCAAAGATGTGAGTGAATCTGGGTATGTACGTGTGTGTGTGTGTGTGTGTGTAGGTATTTTTCATCCGTTTCCCAAAGAGAATGCGTTTTCCGCGAGAGATTTACATATTGACGTGTAAGCGGAAAAAAGTAAGAAGAGAGTGATAAAAAAATTATCGCAGAGTACTTATAGTCCTAGAACGTCTACTAGATGTTTTGAAAATTAGGAGGAAGTAACCGACAATATAAATAATAAAACCACATTTATTTGATACCCCAGTTTTACTTAATATGCAAATTAGTTATCTTCGTTAAGCAAGAACTGTTAAGTTGGGCAAAATATACAATTGGGCAAGACATACAATTGGGTAAGACACGTGCTGGTAGATAATAAAAGCACATTTATCTGATGTCGCTGTTGTTTATTATCACATACAAGCCTTGAGCACGTATACGTGATGTCTGTTGACTTGTTAAACGAGTATGACCATCACTGACAAGTTTGATTAATGGGAGCCGTTTTAGTATGTGCCCTACCGATTCCGCTTTAATGTGTCCCCACCACCACATTTGTATCCGACATTATTAAGGCATTGTCCTGACGTTTTTCTCGATATGTTAAAAGACATTCGGAATGTTTTTATTTAAAGGATTCAAATATCTTGTTTTATAATGTTTTAGTCAAATTTCTTATTTTATAATTTTTTTTATTTTAAATTTTATAATACAAAATAAATGTCATCCCTCATTCCCTTTTGGTAGGACACACGCTGAAGCGGAACCAATTAATATGTTTGGTTCTCGTTATAATGACAATGACTCTTGAAAGTTGCTAGTGACTTGCAATGCTTATTGCGAATGTGGCAAACTAAGTTGTTTTGTACAGGTCCTGGCTTGTTTTGTAAAGTCTGTTCAGCTTGCTCGTAGGTTTATCATGTGATGGATGCGTCACACATTAAGTGGTAGATGCACTAGTGGCTTTAAAACAACGCAGTAAATCAGGAATTTTCCCAAGTAGCCTCACTTGCTATATAAATAAATCGCTTTCAAAAGATAACACAAATTATTGCCAGTATTACTCATGGCAATTAACTCACTCAGTAGTCCGAGTGTAGGCTGCCGTATCAAATGACAAAATGTTCCTGAGAAATTATTCCCGAGAATTCCTCTGAAATTCTAAAAATACTAATTTTTATCATTTTTGTTTTTGTATCCGTATCTGTTGATACGAAAAGATTTTGGCCGATGCTTTTCTTGAACTTAACTCAGATGCATAAATTTATATTTTTCACATGTATCTATTTTAGTCTGTTAATATCTATTCGTCTTTTCGTATCTACTTACCTAGCCAGTTACTTATATGTTGGACGCTTGGTTATCTATTCCCAGTCTGTTCATATCTATCTATCTATCTATCTATCTATCTATCTATCTATCTATCTATCTATCTCAGTCTGTTCGTCTCTCTATCTCTCACTATCTATCTATCTATCTATCTATCTATCTATCTATCTCAGTCTGTTTGTATCTCTCTCTCTCTCTCTCTCTCTCTCTCTCTATCTATCTATCTCAATCTGTTCGTATCTCTCTCTCTCTCTCTCTCTCTATCTATCTATCTATCTCAGTCTGTTCGTATCTCTCTCTCTCTATCTATCTATCTATCTATCTCAGTCTGTTCGTATCTATCTATCTATCTATCTATCTATCTATCTATCTATCTATCTTAGTCTATTCTTATCTATCTGTCTCTACTCATCTCTATCCATCTGTCTATCTCAGTCTGTTGTCAGTCTATTCCCATCTATCTATCTATCCTATCTATCTATCTATCTATCTATCTATCTATCTATCTATCTATCTGTTTCTTTTCAATTACAATCTATTCATCTACTAGGTGTAACAGCAAATTTGTCCAATTGTTAAATTAAGCTTTGAACCGTTGTATCTTAGAAATGCTTAAATATATCTTACTGGAATTCTCAAAGATTTTTATAACACTATTGGACTCTACTTTGATCAGTAAGAATGTATTTAGCTCTAAGTTGAAATGATGATCTTTCATACTGTTGTAACTTCCTACTCCAGTTTTCTTTGCTATTGTTCTCTCTTTTTTAAACTTATACACCATTATCTCGATGTTTCTTGAATGGACCTTGAAGATGGAAGACAGAGTATGAATGTTGGTAACATTACTGAAGGCCCGAATGATCTTTTTCTTCTCACCATTGTTCAGTTACGAAGCCATAGTGCGGCTGACACAAAACAATTTTAACCTGTTGTCTTTCTATCTGAATAACTCAAAGTGTTTTTCAGCGATTCTTACGACAAATGGTGTCAAGATAGCTAAGCGTCTTATCTGAAAACCAGGAAAAACGTAACTTAATTTGTTTACTGATTTTTCTTTTTTTTTTTTTTAGATATGAAGCATTTTGTGGGAGTGGGACAGTTATCTCATGCTGTTACACGATTTGGACAATTTTATCTATTATGTCACTGTTCATATTCTCTATTTCTATCTTTTTATTTTCAGTTTCTATCTATCTATCTATCTATCTATCTATTTGAATCTGGTTATTATCTATCTTTCGTTTTTTTTTCTTCTTTCTCGGCCCGTCTTACTTGATTTGTTTTAAACTAAGCATAAAATTTATCTCTGAATTTTTGGAATGATGAATTAGCATTATTTACACTATTTACATGAGAACTATTGTCCTCATGATAATAAAGAAAGACATGACAACAAGGCTTCAACAGCAGCAACAGCAGCTCTAAAAAGGAAGAGAAAAGTTTCAGTGGGGGTAGTCAAGCATAACAAGCAACAGCAGTACTCATCAGCAGGCAGCTTAGGTTTAAGGCTCCAAGTTCTCCACAGAGAATTGTCCCACGGGACAATAGCCTAGTGGATTAAAGCGTTGGTTCGTGGGTGTAGTGACATAGTTATTGTGAGTTCAATGTGTAATTGGACTCAATGGAAATAGGGCGAAAAATGAATGATCAGTACTAAGAATAAGAACTAAACCATACATTCTAGTGCAGTCTACCCCCGTAGTACATTTCGGAATTTCACTGCAGGTTACACGGATCGACATATACCTGATGAAGGCTGAATGGCACAATAACTGAAACGTTGTGATAACAACAACAAAGATGAGGACAATAGTTCGCATATAAATAGTGTAAATAAGCATAAAATATTATTGGAGGTAGAATTAATTCAATAGTCAGTTTGAATAATCAGAGACGGATATGCAATATAATTGGCCCTGTTCAGGCATCTCGTCTACAGTCACTCTCTCACAGACGCGACGTCGCTTCTCTCTGTCTTTTTTACAAATACTTTCATTGGTAATTGCTCCGATGATCTGCTTTCACTGGTTCCCAGGCTTCATGAATTTCAAGTGCCCAACGAGGCTGGCATCCCGCTCCCACCCTTACACTATAGAAACTTTTAAGTGTAGCCGTCTCTTCTACTCCAGTAGCTTCATACCTCGCACCTCTCGCCCGTGGAACACCCTTCCCAATTACTGTTTCCCTGAGAGCTATAATCTCCAACTATTCAAATGTAATGTCAATCGATATCTCCAGTTACCTTGATCTACCCACTATCCTTCTCCTCATCCTTTCATCTATCACTCCTATCTGCTCTCGCTCCAAATCTTCTGCAACCCCCTGCATCCTAGTGGCTTCACGCCTTGTTCGGGGCGTAATGCTTAAAAAAAAACAAAAAAACAAATAATAATAATAATAATAATAATGATGATGATGATGATGATAAAAAGGGTTAAATGCTAAAATCAAAGGTTTTACTCTTTCTGCCCAGGACCAATCCATACATAATGAAAAAATTTGTTGACCTCAAATATAGATTCTTTGCTAAATATCCAGAAAAAAAATACCATCTTGTATCAGAGTGCACGGTGTTAGCACCAACTGAACATAAAACCCGGCATCATAGAGTGGACCAATATCTGCACTGGAGAATATGCCAACTTTACAGGAAAGAAACTACAAGAAACTGGTATAATCATCACACAGGCCCTGTTACAAAGATGGGATTTGTAACAATTTTATGGGATTTTACAATGAACACAGAGAGAACAATGAAAGCTAATTGTCCAGACATCATGATCTAAGAGAACAAGAACAGAATGTGCTTTCTTATTGATATGGCAGTCCCTGCAGAATCTAATGCATATTTGAAGATCTTCAAAAAACTATCAAAATACAAGGACCTTGAAACAGAAATCTCAAAAATGTGGCACATGAGGACATTAGTATATCCATTTTTAGTTAGAGCCTTCGGATTAATTGAAAAAAGGATCGGATAGACTCATTGAAAGGATTCTTGGTTGCCCAAACCTTAAAGAAATACAAAAAAAAAAAAAACTCACAAGTACAGCCTACACATTACGATGAGCTTTATCCATGTAAAATGTTTGTGATCTTAGGTCTTTGTTTTTTTTTACAAAAATGATCTGAGGAAAATGTCATGAAACCATTTCTGACCTTAGGTCTCTGGTTCTCTACTTCTGAACCACAGATAGTAATTATTAGGTTTTACTGTTGGCCTTAAAAACGCCAGATACTTCAGGCACAAATAAAATAATTTTCAGTCTGCTTTACTTCGTTGATGTTTCAGTCGTGACCATCTCATTGTTACCATTGGGTCATTTTGTTAACTTGACTCGTTTCTATTGTAGGTATACTCTTTTGAATATTATCTAGTAGTAAATAATGTACGTGGGTTTGATGTTGCTAAGAATGTTCGCGGAATGCCACTTGAAAGGTTTCTCTTGTTAGGCTGATAAAAAGAAAAATATTGAAAGCGGCGCAAACAGTTTTGGTTATCAGATGACACTTTCAGGAATTTTCAAATTCCTTCTTTTAATATAGAATGAATGAAATATCAAGCTCTCACTTACTGGAATGTGTTTCCAACACATTTAAGCTGATATTATTTTAAGCATTTAACCCCAAGCAAAGTGATAATGCCACTCGAACGTGTTGAATATTGGTTAATTGCAAGGTAGACAGGTGTAGTCACTCAAATGAAAATACGGTGTTTACTCATCCCCCCACGAGAATGAGATGATTTTTTTTAAAGTGGGGATCCTGGCCTCGGTGCGAGCATCGATCCCTCCCTCTTGTGCAAATGCCAATTTCATGATTTCCATTCTTCTGATACTGCCTCGGGAAGCTGTTCCTCAGGGCTGGACATCTCTTCAGTATAATTTTCCTCAGTTGCCCCTCTGTCCTTTGACAGAGAAGCCCCTGAGCGTACTCTGTCCAAGGACGGAGACGCAACTGAGAGATGATAAATAATACGTACAAATTACTTTATAGTAATTTATACGCTACTCAAATGAAAATACACCCACTAAGTGATTTAATGGAGAGATATATGAGTGAATAGAGTCCATTCATACAAATGTGTTGGGCAGTTCCATTATAATAAAGTGGACTAACCCACCTGCTGTATTAGGCAATCTCCTATAAATGAGGAAGATTAGCGGGCTTGCCTTTCTACATGGAGACACAAGGAGGCAGCCATGTTAGAAAGTAAGTTATTTGACTTCTACAGAATGGTTAATGGTAATTAAAAAGTATGAGAAGACGTTAGTGAGGAGAAAGGACAATAAAAGAACAGCTATCAAGAAGACAGAAGTTGAAGCTACATTTAAACTTCTGAAGAATGTATGAGGCAGAGAAGCAAGAAATCGGAATGGGGTTCCACAAGCCAGAAGTGCTAGAAAAGAAACTATTAGAATAGAACATACGGTTGCATCTACCTAGTTCATTTGTAAAACGGTGAAACCTAGATGCCAGTCTAGTAGCACGCTTAAATTCATGAAGTCTAGTCAACAAGGAGGAAAAGCTGATCAGAACAGTTGTCATGAAAATATTTGTAGAAAAGACAGAAATAAAATCATTTACAAAAGAAAAGACAGAGGGGAGCCACGTCATGTCGGTGAGTGTTGTAATCTAGGGAAGGTTACTGAATAGAATAATACTTAGGACAAGAACAACACATATAAGATTCGCTAGCGGTGCCTAGAAGTAGTAGTCAACTGCTGGAAGTGAGTCAAGTGAATTCTATAATGAATCTCCAACTGCATGAAAAATTGTAATGAAAATTTTTTTTTCGTATTCTGTGGTCAATGAGAGTCGTGATCTTATGTCCTGATGAAAACCTGGTTGGAGCCTTCAGTGAGCCGAAATTTCTGAATAGATAAGATCCCAGGTTAGTGAACGAGGAGAAGACTTTTTGATAGTAAGGGGACAAGGCAAATCAAGGAGAAAGAAGGCTTTTGACATCAACATTTGAAAGCATTGAGAAGGCACCAGTTACCAGCCAGCTGCAGAAAGACTAAAGAATTTTGAAGTTTAAGTGAAAATTCTCCTATGGTTGGACAGCCAAGAAGGAAAGAGGATTTTTAAAAAAAGTTCTAAGCACGAACAGGGACTTTTCAAAATTTACAATATGTCCCAGAGACACTCGTGGGGTAAGTAAAAGTAGGTGTTTTCATTTATTCTCCAAAAAAAATTGTTTTACAACCGTCTACTTGAATTGTTCTCTCTTTTTCAAAATCCTTGTCTTTTCTCAAGCTGTGATTTTTTTTTCCAATCTTCGATGGTAATCCTTTTTATCTGAAATTGTTATCCTGCCTTGATAGGTTCACAAAATGAAATTTTTGTGTAAATTTTGTATTTGCACCTTTTTCGTCATTGTGTAATAAATGTTTTCCTTTTAAAATTTTACGCTGTAGTTGAATCTTACTTTGTAATGCTATTTTGCACCTGTAGAAGACCGTGTCGGCGATGTCGAGTATGAGTAGAACACACGCGAGTTAAGATTTTCCTGCTAGCCGGTCCAACTAGATGAGAAAGTTGGACTTTAATTAAGTCCAAAGAAGGCAAAGAAAAACAACACAAGACCGATAAATATATGTAAACAAATATATGTATTAATAACAAGAAAGGTTACAAGTTACATGGACAGTTAGATGTACAGAGTGAGTGGTGAATATTATGTGTGTTGTGTTGTAGTGAGTGTTCGTACGTACGTATATTGTTCTTAGCGTGTTCCCAGCATTTGGAAAACGCTGTATCTGTGAGCGTTCACATCTGCGAAGTGGTAAGGCTGAAAGCCTGAGGCAAAAAGAGATTTACCTCAAGGTGGCGGCCCAAAGGCCTGAGGGAAAAAGAGGAAGAGGCGAAGGGTTAGCGAGTATTTATAGCCAGGGAAGAGAGACCCCTGGTGAAGGGTTAAGGAGCTGAGGAGGAGCTAACTCCGACACACCTATTATGGTTTTCTATTATTAGCAACAAAGATCTTGTGTTTAATACAAGAACTTAGATTTTGTAAAGAATCAAAATTTTATAATCGACTAGCAGTAGAGCCCGGGTATGTAACAATAAGAAGAGATAGATCAAGTATCGACCATCATAAAGACTGAAAAATAAAATTGACAAAGATTATTGTTTAAGGTTGACGGACACGCATGTCTTAATTAGTTTCAATCGTTATGAGTCTACCGATTGAATAGAATTTTATTATAAACAATTGTCTTGTAAATGGAATTTTTAAAGCATTCTGAATGTAAAAATAAAGAAAAAAGTGTA